ATAACATGTTATGATTTCTTCTGGTTTGTCACTTTCACGGACATTTATTGCCTGATGGCGTGATGGAGAACACAACTGAACCACTATGCAGTATAAACAAAAACGAACAGAACACATATTATTTGGGTTTGTGCTCAGACGTTGCAGCTGTTAGCACTTCTTTAGCAATATGCACTCTAATCTCAATTAAGATGCTATTATTTCAAAAACATTATTCAGTACTAACTTACTTTGTCATTTTTTAGTCTAGAAATGTGTTCGTCCTGCAGATTTCTTCTTCGTAAAAAGGCATAGTGGCTCAGTCGTGTTCTCAGTCACACCATCCAGGCAATAAACGTCCATGAAAGTGACAAACTAGAAGAAACCACAACGTAACGAGATGGTTATCTTGATATAACAAGGGTTTTCTCATTTCTACAAGATAGTTTTCTCGTTTTTACGAGATATTTTTCTCGTTATAACGAGATCCAGTTAAAAAATAATTTCATGTCATGTGACGGCTCTGCGCTTCAGTATTCATAGCAGCTCATGCAAATACTTTCAAACGTTTACATGATTAGTCCTCTTTCTTCAGTTATTCAGGCAGAATAAGGTGGTTATTTGCCGTTAGCATTTTAATTGCAGCATGGTGCACCGCTGGCAGGAAAAATTTGTGACGTCAAAATGGTTATTTAAACACAAACAAACAACAACAAAACAATAAAATAAAATAAATTATATGTTAGAGATTGGAGTTGTTTCAAGACAGCAGCGGTCCATTTTGGTCTGGGCTTTTCTCAGATTAGCCATTAGCTCATCAATCTGGTTAAAATAAACTAATTTCTCCAAACTGAATTTGTTCCAAAACTTATCTTCAACAGGTAAGATATTTGTTCATAACCTTAAACATTTAATTATATGACAATTGTAAATTCTTAAATTATCAAAGGTTTTTAATGATGATTGATGAAAACAAAGAATATCACATTTTTAATAGCATTAAATGAGTGCAACACTAACCCACTTCTCTTCAAGAATGAAATAGTAAATTTAAATATTGCTGCTGTTAGAAAACACGTTTTAAATACAATAAAAAACAAACTTTTAAACAATCTTATCAAATTTGTTCATTTACCATGAAAAGACATCTAAATCTGTTGGTGTCTCACTGAATCTAATAAAAACTGTACTTTATTCAGAAAATTAATTTCATTTGATTTAATGCAGAACCTTTTCTCCATCAGCTGTGTTCAGGTAAATATTTGCTTTGTAAAAGTTTGAACAACAAAATAATGAACGTTTGGTGTTTCAGAGACCATTCAAAGTTTGTGTTGAGTGAAATAATTCAAAAGAATAATCTTTT